AAATGAGTGAGCTCATGTGATATTTACCTTTCTTCAAATGATTTATTTCACTTCTCCAGGTCCATCCGTGCTTTTGTGAATGGTAAGAGTTCCTTCTTTTTTATAGCAGCATAGTATTCCATTGTATAGATGTAACACAGTTTTTTAATCTACTCATCTGCTGATGGGCAGTTAGGCTGTTTCCAAATCTTAGCTATTGTAAATTGTGCTGCTATGAATATAGGGGTGCATATATCCATTCTGATTGGTATTTCTGATTTCTTGGGATATATTCCTAGAAGTGGGATCACTGGGTCAAATGGGAGTTCCATTTTTAATTATTTGAGGAAACTCCATATTGTTCTTCACAGTGGTTGCATCAGTCTGCATTCCCACCAGCAGTGCAAGAGGGTTCCTTTTTCTCAGCATCCTTGCCAGCACTTGTTAGTTGATTTGTTGATGATAGCTATTCTGACAGATGTGAGATGGTATCTCATTGTGGTTTTGATTTGCATCTCTCGGATGATTAGTGACTTTGAGCATGTTTTCATATGTCTCTTGGCCTTCTGTAGGTCCTCTTTCAAAAAGTGTCTATTGAGGTCCTTTGCCCATTATTTGATTGGATTGTTTATCTTCCTTTTGTTAAGTTGTATGAGTTCCCTGTAAATTTTGGAGATTAAAACCTTATTGGAGATAACATTGGCAAATATGTTCTCCCATGCAGTGGGCTTCCTTGTTTTGTTGATGGTTTCTTTTGCTGTGAAGAAGCTTTTTATTTTGATGTAGTCCCATTTGTTTATTTTCTCCTTAGTTTCCATTGCCTTAGAAGCTGTATCAGTAAAGATATTGCTATGACACATGCCTGATATTTTGCTGTCTATGGATTCTTCTAAGATTTTTATGGTTTTCTGTCTTATGATTAAGTCCTTTATCCATTTTGAGTTTATTTTTGTGTATGGTGTAAGTTGGTGGTCTAGTTTCATTTTTTTTTTTTTTTGCATGTATCTGTCCAATTTTCCCAACACCATTTACCTAAGAGACTGTCTTGACTCCATTGTATGCTCTTGCCTCTTTTGTCAAATATTAATTGAGCATAATGGCTTGGTTGACTTCTAGGTTCTCTGTTCTGTTCATTGGTCTATATGTCTGTTCTTGTGCCAGTACCAGGCTGTTTGGAGCACAGTGGCTTTGTAATATCGCTTGATATCTGCTATTGTGATCCCTCCAACTTTGTTCTTCGGTCTGAGGATTGCTGTGGCTATTCAGGGTCTTTTTCTGTTCCATATGAAATTTTGAGTTTGTTCTAGGTTTGTGAAATAAGCCGTTGGTATCATAATGGGCATTGCATTGAATCTATAGATTGCCTTGTATGGACATTTTAATGATGTTGATTCTACCAATCCATGATGTTTATTCTACCAATCCAGTGTATTCTTCCATTTGTTTATGTCTTCCTCTATCTCTTTTTTCAATGTCCTGTAGTTTTCCGAATACAGGTCCTTTACTTCCTTAGTTAAGTTTATTCCTAGGTATCTTAATTTTTTTGTTGCAATGGTAAATGGGATTGTTTTTTTTTAAGTTTCTCTTTCTGTGAGTTTATTATTAGTGTATAAAAAAGCCATAGACTTCTGGGTGTTAATTTTGTATCCTGCTACTAGTAAATTGCTGAATTCATTTATTAAATCTAGTAGTTTTTTTTATGGAGTCCTTGGGTTTTTCTATGTACAATGTCATGTCATCTGTGGATAATAACAGTTTTACTTCTTCTTTTCCAATTTGGATGCCTTTTATTTCTTCTTCTTGTCTGATCGCTATGGCTAGCACTTCCAGTACTATGTCAAACAGGAGTGGTGAAAGTGGACATTCCTGTCTTGTTTCTGTTCTTAAGGGAAATGGTTTTAGTTTTTGCCCATTAAGTATGATGTTGGCTATAGGTTTGTCATATATGGCCTTTATCATGTTGCGATATGCTCCCTCTAGTCCCACTTTGCAGAAAGTTTTTATCAAAACTGTGTGTTGGATTTTGTTGAATGCTTTTTCTGCATCTATTGATATGTTCATGTGATTTTTGTCTTTCAATTTGCTTGTGATATATCACATTTATTGAATTGTGAATATTGTACCAGCCTTGCATTCATGGAATAAATCTCACTTGATCATGGTGTATGAGCTTTTAAATATATTGCTGGATGTGATTTGCTAATATTTTGTTAAGGATTTTAGCATCTATGTTCATCAGGGATATTGGCCTATAATTTTCTTTCTTTGTAGTGTCTTTATTTGGTTTTGGAATTAGAATAATGCTGGCATCATAAAAAGAGTTTGGAAGTGTACCTTCGTCTTGGATTTTCTGAAATAGTTTGAGGAGTATAGGTGTTAGTTCTTCTTTGAATGTTTGGTAAAACTCCCCTGTGAAGCCATCAGGACCTGGGCTTTTGTTTGGTGGGAGTTTATTTTTATTTTTATTACTGCTTCTATTTCATCAGTTATTACTGGCCTATTCAGATTTTTTTATTCTTCCTGATTCAGTTTCGGGAGATTGTATTTTTCTAGGAATTTTTCTATTTCATCCACATTGTCCAGCTTGTTGGCATATAGTTGTTTATAGTATTTTCTTACAATCCTTTGTATTTCTGTGGTGTCAGTGGTTACTCCTCCACTTTCGTTTCTGATTGTATTTATTTGGGACCTCTCTCTTTGTTTAATTACACAACTCTTAAAAGGCAGGACCACTAGAACCTTCCCAGGTCTTCAAGGCTTGAAGGAAGGCAATACAGCATAATGGAAAGAGAAAAAGCTTTGGAGGCAGATACCTGAGCTTAATTCTTGCTTCCATTCTAGCTGCAAGACCTAAATTTTTCAGCTTCACTTTCCCTTTCTGTCAAATGAAGAGAAATGTTCTTTTGAAGAGTTCTGAGAATAAAATAAATTGTGTATACAAAACACCTGTCGTATAGCACTGAGAAGCATATTTCATCTCCACGTCTTCCATCACCTCACCATCTAGATCTAGGCTCAGTCATCCTCCTATGACTTCATGCTTCTTCCACTCCAATATCGGAAATCAGGCAGGGACACAAAGAACTTCAATAGAAGAGAGAAGGTAGTCAGTACTGTATGAGCACATGAGCTTTGTTAGGATGGCCAAGCAGGACTTCATGGAGGCAGCAACATTAAATCTGGACCTGAAATGTTTTGTCACATTTCAAAAGGTGGGAGGCTCTTGGGATTCCACACTTGGTAACTAGATAGAGCACAGAGTGAATACTAAAGGGCTGCACCGTGTGCTGGGTTCTAGGCTAGCCCTTTCCACAGCCAGCCCCCTTGGACTCCCCACTGCCATCTGGTGGTCAACAGGAGCCCAGGCCCCAGCTAAAGGGGCTGACCCTGGTCAAGGCTGCATTGCTTTCAAATGGGATGGCAGAGATGGGGGTGGGAGGGTAGGAGGGATGCGAACCCTATGGGAAACCCTACTTCTCCCTCCAGCCCCATCCAGAAAAAATTGGCATGAGAGAGAAAGGCCCAATATCTTGCCTTCAGCTCCTCAGACCAGCTGGGATTCTATTTTTAACCAGCACTGTGTTTGACAGCTTGGAACGCCTTCTCCCTCCGTTCTCCTTAGTCCTGCCTCTTGTAGCCTAGAGCTTGTAAAAAGGATGGCTGGGAGCCACCTCAGCGACGTTTAACAGAAAACCCACTTTCCTTTCTCACTGTCCTTCGCCCCTCCCAGCCTTTGTTCAGTGCAGTTAGTGGGTAGAGGCATTATTAGCTGTGAAGCTAATAAGGCTTAAATATCAGGGCTCCTCACTCACACAGGCCTCTTCCAAGGCCCTGGTGAGTCCTCTGGCAATTTTGTATCTGTATATTTGTTTTCTTTTTCTTGAAAAAGGGCTCCCAATTTTATAAGTACCAGGCATTTGGGTCTGCTCCCTGATGGGTATGGCTTCTTTCCCATCTCCAACCCAGTGTCCACTTTAAAAGGGTTATTTCTGTCTTGCTCCTATTTCTCGAATGACCTTGAGCAGTTTTCTTTTCTTCTTTGGGTCTCAGTTCACTCATCTGTTACAAGATGAAATGTCAAGGAAGCCCTCTCCCAACATACCATACCATACATGATTATCCATGTATGTCCCCTTAATGAGCTCATCGGTTCTTCTCTGTCTGTTCGTCATTGTGTGTGCGTAGGGGGTGATGTTGCTGTCTCTGTCTCTCTGGGGCTGGATCAGTTTTTAAAAAAATATTTTCATTGATTTTTAGAGAGCAAGGAAGGGAGAGGGAGAAAGAGAGAAACATCGATGTGAGAGGGAAACATTGACTGGCTGCGTCCTGCACATCCCCTACTGGGGATGGAGCCCCAAACCTGGGCATTTTCCCTGACAGGGAATCAAACCAGGAACCTTTCGGTGCATGGGAGGATGCCCAACCAACTGGGCCACACCAGCCAGGGCTGGGTGTCTTCGTGCCAAAAGAGAGGCTGGGCTCTGGGACTTCTATTCAGGGCCAGCCCTCTCCACCCCCCCTTTCTTGCTGCTGACCAGTAAGGGTGCTTCTGTGGAGCAAAAGTGTGGCCAGGTACTGCTGCCAGATAAGAGCGCATCGACAAGGCTCTACTCTTTAATTAGTCTCTGTTCACCTATCATGGTCTGACCCCTGATGTTTCAAACACATATTAAACAAACGGAGTCTCATTATACAGTGCTGCTTCTTTTATCTTTTCATTAAATGTTTAATAAGCATTTATTATTATAGTACCTTAACAGTGATGCCACTTTAGGAGAATGTGCTTAGGACTCATGAAGTGTCATGGATATCCTACCTCCCACCCTACCCCCATGTCCAGCTGCTACCTATGACATGGGTGTGGAGGTGGGTCCAGGATGACAACTCAGAGACAATACACAGCCTCCTCCAGCCTCAGACTGCGGGCTTTTTGGCAGGGGGTCCTGCTGCGGGTGACCTGACAGGGAAGATCACAAAACCCCTCGCCTCCCCACCTGCCCCTGAAGAGTCCAGAAAGGAAGTTTAGGAGGAAGCCAAGGCATTTATTATTTATTGAAGAGGTCGGTGGGGGCAGGGACATAGTATTTAATTGGAAAGGAATGAAGGGACTTCTCAGTGCAAAACAGCCTGTTAGCCAGGGAGCTGTGAGATGAGGTTGGTGTACCCAGTGCTGCTTGGGGAAGGGCACTGCGAGGTCAAACGGGGGGCAGCCTGGAGCATCTCAGGAGTCAGCCCAGTGCCGGGCTCCAGATCCCTAAATGAATCAGTGCCATTATGCTGCGTGTGTGAGGCCGGTCTTCCCGGTCATAGAGGTCCTGCTGCGGAGGGATAGTCTGTCCAAGGTCAGTGCCCTGTTTCTATGCCACAGAGAGTGTGCCTCGTTTTCTGTGTGTGGGTCCGCTTTGTTTACTTTGTGCCAATAAGCCACCTTTTCCTGTGTTTTGGGGGTAAGTCCATGCTGTTGGGTGTCAGTCTTTTGCGGGGGAGGGGGAGGGGGCGTCTGTGTCTCTTGTGTGTCTGAATGGGTCAGTGCTTGAAAAATCGGCCTGTCCTGCCTTAGCCCCCACTCGCCCCCCACCCCTCAGCCAGGCCCCAGCGTGCTGACGGTGGTGTAGCTCAGCCTGGACAGGGAAGCGATGGAGGGGGTGGGAGGGTCCTCGTCTGGAAGAGGCCGGGGGCGAGCTCGCGGGGGCCGCGGGCAGCATCGGGCACACGTGTCGAGACAGGCCTGGCGAAAGCGGCGGTGCATGAAGCAGTAGACCAGGGGGTTGACACACGCCGAGACATAGCTCAGCAAGTGGATGAAAGAGATGGGCGCGCCCGACAGTGCTCGGCGCGCTCCGGGGCCGTCGAAGGCCTTCCACGTGTTGGCGCTGTACACCGGCAGCCAACACAGGAAGAAGAGCACGACGATCACCAGCAACATTCGCACCACGCGCTTCTTGGCCAGCAGCTTGGCCTGGGTCGGCCGGTGGCAGGATCCCGGCCCGGGAGTGGGTGCGGTCAGCGCGGACAGCTCCATAGCCGGCCGGGAGCGCGGGAGCTGCACGTAGCAGCCGTCGCCGTCCTCGCCGCCCGCCAGCCGGGTCTCCAGCCGGCAACGCCCGTTCTGCAGGGCAACACCTAGGCACAGACAGTGGGCGCTCAGGGCAGGAAGCCCAGCCCTCTCAACTCCAGACCAACCCCTATCTGACCCCCCATTTCCAGCCTTTCCGTAGACCCCCCACTTTTCAAAGCCCGGCCCCTTATGGATTTCACTCTGGGTTTCACGCACCTGGTCCCGCCCCAGCTGGCAACCCTCCTGGGCTTCGGGCTCGGCTCTGGCTCTCGCTGTCACTGTCGCCATCAAAGCGAAGCCCTAAGTAGAGTTCGCGGGAAATGAGCCCGTAGGCCACCGCCATAACCACACCCGGGATGAAGAACAGAAGCAGGAGCAGCAGTACCGACCTGGAAGCAGAGCACAGGCCGGTCACGCGGGGCTCTGTCCAGCCATAACGGCGGATGAGGAACGAGCCGAGGACTGATGTTTCTAGGATTTGGGGGTGCTGCTGGGAAGGCCTAGAGAACTGCGGAGAGGCCCCAAATGGGAATCCCAGGGAGGGGGGTGCCGAAAGGGAATTGGAGTAGCAATTCTAGGAGCAGCTTCTGGGGAAGGTTCTGGGGAATGGTCCTAAGCATCTGATGGAGCTGTAGAAGGGATTCCCAGGAATGGGCACCCTCACCAGGTTTGGCGAACCCTCGCACTGGGCCAGCGATGCACGCACTGCAGCACTCGGGGCCCCACTGGCTGCACGACGGTGTATACAGGGTAGGGCACCATGAGCAGCCCCGACAGCATCCATGTGGCTATGATCACACGAGCAGCGTGGGAGCGTGTCTGCCACACGCGGGCCTGCAGTGGTCGGCAGATGGCGCTGTACCTCTCCAAGGCGATGGCCACCAGGCTTAGCGTGGACACACTTACTGACACCCCTAAGCAAGGAAGGAAGAAGGGGTCACCTAGGAAACCTGAACCACACAATCATCAGTGTGACTTTCTCAACTGTCTCCGGGGAGACACCGCAGACATGGGGCAAGGACTGTAGAGGAGGAGAGGGGCAAGGGGGGCAGGGTGGTTGTCTCACCTACCCATGAGGTAGGCAACCGCCTTGCAGACGACTGTGCCAAAGATGAATGTGCCCATGAGGTTGGGCAGGAGGGTGAAGGGCATGCAGGCCACAGCCAGGAGGAGGTCGCTGACAGCCAGTGACAGCAGGAAGGTGTTGGTGACAGTCCTCAAGCGGCGGCTCAGTCCGAGGACCACAATGATGAGCACATTCCCTCCAACACTCATCAGAAAGATCACTGCGTAGAGGGTGACCCTAATGGCAAGCTCCAGTTCTGGGCAGGAAAAGAGAGAGGTGGCAATAGGGGGCCTGTGTCCCCGGCTCAGCCAGACCCTCCCATCCCACTCATCCCAATGCCTGCTATCCAGCCAGATCCCCAGCTTCCCAAGAGAATCACGCCCCCCCCCCAACTCAGTAAATGATGAACTTGAATCCTTTACCCTTCTAACCCCTCAAGACTTAATTAAATTGGCCTAACTCTACTCTTCCTTAAGAAAGGCTATCTTTCCTCAAGCTTTACTCCAAATCTCTTTGCAGCCAAACTTCTTGAAAGGATTATATTCATCTTTCTGTTCATTTCTCAGCCCATTACAATCCAGTGCCCCATCTGTCCTGCCATCACTGCTTGGACACTTCTTCCCAAGGTCCCTAAGCTTTAACTGCTGAATCCAAAGGTCTCTTCTAAGCCTATTCTACTTGACCTCCCTGTAGTATTTGACAGGTCAGGTCAGGTCCTTATTGTCTAAAAAAACACCTTCCCCTGCTCTCTACTGTCTGCAACCTTTAGCAAGTGCAGGTTCTCTGAGAACTGCCCTAATCCTCTTCCAACCCCCTCCCTGCAATGCACCCACTTAAGCTACTGGATGACTCAGTTTCTTGAAGGCATCACATGCACTTATGACTCCCTCCCTTGCTTACATTGGTTTCTCAGCCTGGAAAGTTCTTTCACCAACCCCCACCTTCATCGCAAATATGTTTTCTGTATCTGGTGAATTCCTACTTACCTATGTCCCTAAGACTGAGATCTAGTGCCCACTTCTCTGGACATCTATCTCCTTTGGAGTTAATTTCCCCTTCCTCTGACTATGCATCTTCCTTACACATCTATTAGAACCCTTTTTATTTTCTGCCTTTTATTTTAATGATCTCCAAACATTCATTCTCACTCAATAAACATCTGCATGCCAGTTATTGGGCACAGAGATGAACATGAAAGAGGAAGGAACACCCAGATATATACACAGATAACTGCCACACAGAGTGATGAGGAGTGAAGGTTGAGGAACACAAAAAGTGCTGCAGGAACTCACAGCAGTGACACTAGAGTTTCTGGGCTTGACAGAGGGCTGACTCCATTCATTTGAATTGAGTATTGGGATATGGGTTCATCTTTGGGCCTCTATATCATAACTAAGCAGACCCAGACAAAATTGAATTGAATTAAATTAAATTGGCCTGGTCACCCACACCCATGGCCTGAGCTTGAGGGACACTAGAGCTTAAAGGGAAAGAGGGCAGGGGGCAGAGCCTTCCCGGTTGGGGAAGGAAGGACTCAGAGCTACAACTCTCTCTTCCTTGGCTGACTTTGCCTCAGCCCCCAAATTAAGCTGTTTTTCTCATCACAAATACCAACTTATTCAGAAACTGTTGTAGATGTCAAGTCAATGCTAATTACAAGAGCACTCTGAACTAAACCCCGCAGTGACATTACTTGCTCAGAGCATACAATAAGTAGGGGGCAGAATCAGAATAGAAGCTAAGTCTCCAGATCTCTAAAATGCTTTGCCTCCTACTGCTCTCTCACTCCTGTGCCATTCATCATGCAGCCTCCTTCTCCCAATAAAATCTCAATCTGTGCTTCTTTCTCTCTCTTTGTTCTCTATCACAGCATTTTCTCACTGTATTACGGCGATGTGTAATCCGCTGTCTCCCCCACTAGACTATGAGCTTCTGGAGATCAGGAGCAATGCCCATCTCGTTCTCCAGCATATCCCTAGCACTTGGCATAATGTCCCTCACCAAGAAGTGTCAACACATGCTTGCTAGTGAATCTGGAATGAATCTCTGTCACTTTGCACACAAATGCACCTGCTTTGTCCTTCCTCATCCAACCTTCACCGCTGTGCCTCTAAAGCTCTAGCAACCCTCACCTCTCTGTCTCTGTCTCTTTGGAGACAGAAGTAATATTCAAGTGGACAATATTTAAGTGAGTATAAATGTGAGATGTTAAGATGTTAAGTGAGATGTTAATCTGATTGAGTTAATCTGATCTCAGTCTTATGGGTAATATCTGAATGTGTGAGGGCAATATGCGGAGAAGGGTTAGTTAAGTGAGCATCGGTAATATCTAATTATCTGTGGACAATAATAGAATGAAAGTGAGTGTGTTTAATGAATGAGTACTAGCTAACTGATGTGGGCAATATTAATGTGAGTGTGGACGCTATCTGTTTTTCTGTTGGTAGCATCTGAGTGAATACGGGTATCATTCAAGTCTGTGTGGGTTATATCAGAATAGTGTGGGTAATATCCAAATTTCTACTTGTTACACTGGAGTAAGCCTGAGTAACATGCACTTGTGGGGGTAATATCTGAGTGAGTGTGGCTAATAGAGTCTTTGTGGGTAACTTCTGATGGCCAGTGTAACATTCAACTGTGTGGGTAACAACATCCAGATGAATGAGGCCAATTCCTGCATCCATGCTCTGAATTGCTTTATGTTCTGCTTTCTCAGACTTCCTTGCTCTATTCACTATCCCTGCTGTCTTTTGCACCTCCATCCCACATGGACTTTCCTTTCTTTGCCTGGCTTTTAAATATTGGTCTTCTTCAGGGTCTTGTCACATGTGCCCTGACTGGGAATTGAACCACGACCTCCAGGTCCATAGGTCGACGCTCAACCACCAAGCCATGCCAGCCGGGCCCAGTATCTCTCTCTCTCTTTTTTCTATTCTACACAAATTTTATCTTCACATGGCTTCCATTACTTCCTCTAAGCAAAGACCTTTGAAGTCTGTGTTTCCAGCTCAGACCTCTTCCCCAGCTTCCAGACCCTTGGGTTCAACGGTTGACTGGACAATCCCACCTGGGTATCTTGCCAGCATTTATGTTCTGCTGGTTCCAAATTGAATTAACTTATAATCTCTTTTAAACCTGATTCTGTTCCTGTGTAATCCTTCTCATTATACAGTACCAATATCCATCCAATTATCTAAGCCAGAAACCTGGATGCCATCCTCTGACCTCTGCCTCCCTCTCTGTTTCTCACAAATCACTAAATCCTGTTGATTCCACTTCCAGAAATGCCTCTAAAATCCATCCACTACTCTTCATCCCCACTGTCAGTACCTTCCTCTAGGCCAGTATCACCTTTCACCAGGACCAGTGTAATATAATGACCTTCTATATGTGTCCACCTTTCCCACCCCCTGCCTTCTACACATGTATTGTCCTGCAAGCCGTCCTTCACACTACAGAATAAATCCTGGCAGGACTACTGAAACTTCCAGCAGTTCCCATTGCCCTTAAGATAAAATTGACACTCCTTAGCCAGGTCTATAAGGCTCTCCATAAACCCTTTAGCCTGGTCTTCATTTTTGAGTGTTAATTGTTCCTCTTTTATGGTGTATGTTTTGGGTGCCCCGAAACTAGGGCATACTGAACAAAGGTGACATGGACTTAAACTTTGGGCTTTTACATATACAGTTCCTCTGCTAGGGATGCTTTTTGCCTTTTTCCCCTGTTCACTTGGCTGGCTCTCTCTCATCGTTTTTATTTTTATTCATCATACTTCACCTTCTCAGGAGGCCAACTTTGATTCCCAAGTCTAGGCTAGGCTAGAGGTGCTCCTCTTCTGTGTTCCCCAAAGCCTCTCAAGGCCCCTCCCCCTTTGTGCTGCCATTCCCTGCTTACTTGTCTGTCTCTTCCACTAAACTGTGAGCTCCATGAAATAGGAACATTGTCAGTTTCGGTGCCTAGCACAATCCTTGGTTCAATAAATATTTGTTGAATGAAAGAATCTAAGTGAGAATGTGTAATAACTGTCTGAGAAAGCATGTCTTACCGTGTCAGTTAAAAAAAAAACTTGAATTATAATTTATTCCCACATTCCCTTCTTGGGCTTAGAATAATTTCCTTCTGCTTACCACTGCTTCCTCTCTTAAAATCCCACTTCTTCCTTTTCTGCCTCACAAACTCCAACTTCAAGACCCATCTCCAGGTTCCCTCTATGAAGTTCTTGGACCCCATTTCCTTTGGACGCTGATCATTCAGACCTTCTTGTGGGACTTCCCATGCTTAATGTGATTTTTCCATTGGTATTGTCTCCCCTCTGCAGGGATGAGGGTCCAAGCAAGGCCTAGCTCATCCCTATGTCCCCAGCTCCTAGCCCAGGGACTACAATAACAGGTGCACAGTAAACATTTAAGGAAAGGAAAGGCCCAGGAAGGGGAAAAAAACATCTTGATCCAGGCCATCAAAAAAAAAAAAAAATTAGGATGTTGACTCATGGGAAGAGTGAAAGTTATTTTGGGGAATAGGTGAATGGATATCATCTGAAGGTGGGGGGGGGGTGATGAGGAGATGGTGGCACAAAGGCATGGGGTGATAAAAGGGGTAGTCCAGCTTGGGGGAGGGGTTGCAACCTAAGGAGAGGCAAGTTGGAGAGGAGGCATGGAAGGGATTTGAGGATGAGTGAAATGGAGACAGGCAGCTCTAGGGAGCAGCACCCAGCCTAACTTACAGCTTAATTCAAGTTGAAGGATCTCTTTAGGGAAGGTTGGGGGTTGGGGAGGGGGACACAGATTATGATTCTAACTTCCCACTCAGGTCTTCCAGAGTGCTCCTTCCTTCAAACAGCCCCTGCTTTCCCCCAATCTTGCCTTCCTTCTGTCCTCCCTCATTGTGGCTCTGTGAGTTGTATGTGAAGGGAAAGGAGAGACCTGGAAGGAACGGCAGCAGGAGGTCCTTGCTCCCCCACCCTCCCTGTCTAGCGCTCCGTGGCTGTGTGTGCGGAGGGTGCTGTGTTTGGGGTTTACAGGCAGCTCGGGGCGGGATCAGGGTGTGAAGGGACTCTGACCAGGTAGTGTGATGCTGGGATGGAATGTTCGGAGCTGCAGGGGACACGTGTGTCAGGGGAGCTACGCGCCCTGCGAGGATGGTGTGAGCGCTGGAGGCGGCGGTGCGGGGGCAGTGGGGTCCCGCTATTCGCTATTCGGGTGGTGGGGTGGGGTGCAGCGAGAAGGAGCTTTTGGAGGGAGCTTGAGGAGGCACCCACCTCGTGTCCCGTTTCCTCGGGCGGCAGGCGGCTCGCAGCTGAGGTTGCCGGTGTCACTGCCGTTGAGGAGGGCGACCCCGGGGCGGCAGAGGGCAGCCCCTGGCCCCGGTCCCGGTCCTGGCATGCTCCGGTTCAGCTTCAGCAGCTCCATGGCCCCGGCCCAGCCGCTGCCTCCCTCGGCCGGGCGGGCTCCCGCGGCGGCTCCACCTGCTCACGCCGAGACTCCGCGGAGGCGCCCGCCCCGCCTCTCCCGCCTCGTCCCGCCCCCAACCTTGGCCCCTGCCCTTCGCCTCTGCGCGGCGCTCCGGGCCGGGGCGCCAGTCCCCAAGGCTCGGTTAGGCGGCGGTCCTGCCAGGTGATCGCCCCCTCCCGGCTCAGGACTTGCCCCGGCGGGACTGTCCTCAGGCTCCCCCCCTCGCCCCCTCGTCCCCGCCCTCGATCTCTCGGCTTTCCTCCCACTCCCCCCACCACGGTCCCGGCTCCCGGGGATTCGTGTGTGTGAGCGTGTGTGTGAGCCTGTGTGTGAGCGTGTGTGTGTGTGTGTGTGTGTGTGTGTGTGTGTGTGCAGGGTGGGGTGGGGTGGGGTGGATGGAGCGATAGTGAGGAGGGAGGTTGCGGGGGAGGGAGGGTAGGAGGGGTGAGGAAGGGGGTAGGGGACGGCGCCCGGGGGTCTAGCATCTTTCCCTGGTGGTCGGGGGACGTAGGCCGGGTGCGGGGTCACTGGTTGGGCGCAGATGCCGAGCCCACGCGGAGCTGCGGGCACCGACCTGCCGCAGTGGCCGGGACACTCGCTGCTGCCCTGCAGCTCCTTGCCGCTGGGCCGGGGGAGCCCCTGCATCTGCCCCCGCACCCCGCGTGCCACACTTCCCACCGCGGGCCCAACACACAGGCCTCCACCTAAAGCTCCCAGGACACCCTCAGCCTCGGGCAAAGATGGGGCGGGAGAGAAGCGGCGGACTCGGGGAAGCCTGGCAGGGATAGGGCTGCCCAGAGGGAGAGTCTAACTTGGGTGCTGAGGGCGGTGGAGACAACGGTGAGAACTGCCCAAGATCATCGGGGGTGGGGGTGGGGGTGACGGCGGGTTAAGGCTGTAATCCGGCTCAGAACGAGCATAAGCGGGAGAAGGCGGCTGGCTTTCTCCGTGTCTCCAAGCAGCGCCCACCCTCACCTGACACCCTGACGTCCCTGTTTGCTCTCAGCGCAGGTGGAGCAGCCTGTGTGGTGTGTCAGGTTCCCACGGGAGGGGCCGGAAGGGGGCTGGATCACTGGGGCGCAGCGGAAACAAGCTGATGGGGGCAAGCGCAAGACTGAGGTTGGTTCGGCTCCTGGGCCAGGACTTGCCTCCTCTAATATTTCAGCCAAAAGAGCAGATTAGGTTGGGAATGGGTCTGAGTTTGTGGGGGAATTCACAGAGCCCTGTCCAGTCTTTTGGAGAGGACCTGGTCCAGCTAGCGCTGAGTTTAAAGGGGCTTGGGCATTGGAGGACGTAAGCCTGTGGTGGGTGCGGATGTCCTCACCGGCTCTCCCCACCTTCCTCCCAGCACTGCCTGCCTTCTCCATCCGAGAGCTCTGGGCCAGAGAACCTGATTTGCTGTTTGTTCAACTCCAGCACAGGTGGGGCCTCAGATAGCCTGCTGAACTTTTCCCACATTGGGTGACCGTGGGTGTCGGTGCTGGAGCAAAGGAAATGTAGGGGAGAGAGGAGTGGAAATAGGAGAAGTAGGCTAACCTTCACGTGTTCAGCTACATTGCAAATTTCCCGAGAAGGCAGGGAGGTATGGCATCCAGAGCACATATGGAGGGTTCTAGATTTTGATAGGAGTAGAGATTCAGTTGTAAAAGGAAGTTAATAGAAGAGAATAATTATAGGTGGAAATAAGTCATGGCCAACCAGATAATAACTATATTTTCTAGATTTTTGGCAGCTAAATGTGGCTTTATGGCTATGTCCTGAACAGTGGCTGTGTATGGAAGTGATACATTCAGCTCCTAGATCAAGTTTTTAAAGGAGAGGAGTAGACTCCTTCTTCCTAATTGTCCTTTTCTGCAGGTTGAACGAGGATGTGACATTAAGCCACTTTTCTTTAGTCATGCAGTGAGGGTAACACACTACGGGTGGCAGAGTGAAAAGATGGAAGAAGCCTGGGTTTCCTATACTCTCAAGACATTTTTTTTATCTTTAAATTCTTTATTAGTTAAGGAATTACAAATGTGTCCTCATTCCTCCCCCCCCCCATTAACTCTCATCCCCCCCCCCCCCTCAACTCATGCTCTCATCCCCCTGTTGTCCATGTCCATTGGTTTGGCTTATATGCATGCATACAAGTCCTTTGGTTGATCTCTTCCCCTTACCTCCACCCTCCCCTACTTCTCAAGACATTTTATCACTCCTGGTTCTTCTGTATGAAAAAGAAACTACAATTTTAAGGCCACACAATTTTTTTCCTCTCTTGTGTCATAGCAACTTGATCTGTATCTTCATTAAGACAGTAAGTGTGTAGATTTGGTGAGACAGAGCTGCAGTCTGATAGTTCCTATTTTCTCTATGAAGTTGGAGATCTGGTTACACTGAGTTGGGTGTGTGTCTGTGTGTATGAGTGGATAGTATTGAAATTTTAGGAGTCAAGATAGTTTGAAACACTGTATATAATGGGAAAGGGAAAGTGGAGACCAGAGGAATGTAGTAAGATATGTATGCAATTAGGAAAGTGTTAAGGACCCACTGAAGAGTTATAAGCCAAGAATTTCTAGTGGTAGCAGTTTCTCCAACACAGCTCAGATGGTTGGACGCAAGCATGGAGAATGCTGATGGTTCAATTCATGCAAAGTTGAGATTTCACTGGGTGGATGGGATGGGAAAACAAAGGCACAAGGATGAAATAATGGGCCATGAAATCTCAGCTGAACATGGAGAAGACAACTATGAGGTAGTTGACAAAGTCTAATGCGAGTAATAAGTAGGCTTCAGAAGGGTTGGAGTTACCAGCATCGGGAAAGGGAAGAGTGGACATCTGAATGTCAAGGAGCAGGGATCTATTGGGAGTGAAGAAGCAGCATCAGTGAGTGCAGAGGACGCCAAAGCTATGTACATGGGCTGTGAGGGGATCAGAAGCCACCCCTTTCTGCACCATCCTTATAGGATTGCTGGTTTTAGTTAACACAGGAGTTGGGAGAGTGTTTAAAGAAGTTGAAGATATAAGAGTTTGCTGATATTGGAAAAGAAGTTTCAGAGGATAAATAAACTTTTCTGAAAAGCTTTTAAAAAAAATCCTCACCCAAGGATTGAGAGAGAGAGAGAGAGAGAGAGAGAGAGAGAGAGAGAGAGAGAGAGAGAGAGAGACTTCGATGGGTGGTCTCCTGAAGTGCCCCGACCAAGATCAAACCTGCAGCCAAGATCCTTCAGTACATGGGATGACACTCCAACCAACTAAAATGCACTGGCCAGGACTGAAAAGCTTTTCTTAACCACACAAGTCTGGGTTAGGTGCCTCTCCTGTGTACGTCTGTAACACTTGTGCCTCTCATGATGGTAATTCTTACAATTATAAGTCTTATACTTGCCCTTTTGCTGTTTGTATTTCAAGGATCTGCTTCTGGTCTTTTCTCCTACAGATTCTCAACCCACTCTCCATACTACTCTCATTACTTATTCTCTACCTTTTCTTTATGCTCAAGGAACCTTGAATTGTTTATAGTTTCATGGTGCATTCCATATTGCTCATCACCCTTGTACCTCGTTTACATTCACCCCTCTAACTAAAGGCAGTTGGGTGATGGGAGGTGAGGGCCAGGAGATGGAGGACATAGATGGTTTCAAGAAGATGATTTGTGAAGAGGGGAAAAACCTCCAAGTAACAGGTACAGTGGAGAAAGGGGACAGACCATTAGCAGAGGAGGGAATGAAAATGGAGTGCTGAGAGGGTCGGAACTCATTTCTCAAAATCAGGAATCCCATCTATGCCAAGGATAAAGCCAGCATTCATAGAGTGAGGGATTGCTCCGGGCCAGGAAATGGGGACTTCAGATCAGAGTAAGGAGGGAACTGCAAAGTCAGTGTGGGTAGCCAGAGGAGAGAGACCTGGACCCTTGTCCCAGAACAAGTCAGAAACCTGAGATCAAGGGAGAAAGTTCAAGGTGTCCTGAAGCAGGGCCAGGCTCAGTCCTGAAGGACACCGCCTCTCTGACTCAAGCCTGGACCTGCCAAGGTTGTCAGGTTTTTTTGTCGTTGTGTTCTCTCTCTCTCTCTCTCTCTCTCTCTCTCTCTCTCTCTCTCTCTCATTTTGGAGGGGGGTGCCGGCCCACCTAGCTTGACTCTTGTAGGTAGAACAATTTACCTTTTCCTTGAGGAAGTTCAATAACCTAGCTACTGCCCTACTGCCCAAGTGTGGGCATACAGCCCTTCTTTCAATATTCTATATCACAGCTGAGATAAGAGGGGAACATTTAAACAACACCAGTAAGTGTTGAGCAGAACAACTAAAGAGACGAGAATAGAGTGCCCAATGCACAGCCAGAATAAACCTGCTTATTCTTGGTAGCTTGCAGGCCCACAAAATAGCATTTTACTCAAGAAACCCAGTGCTAATACACACAGTGGTGTGAAGGTCACAGAACAGGTTCTGCTTCCAGCTCTCCTGTCTCTCTCTCTCTCTCTCTCTCTCTCTCTCTCTCTCTCTCTCTCTCTCTCACACACACACACACACACACACACACAGCTGGGATCCAATCTCCGAGAGAAACCAAGCCACAGTTTAGTCCTTGGGGTGCCCACGCCCCAAGGCTCAGCCCTTCTCTCTGTGGCTGACTAAGCTGCCTTCTCTCCACATCGTTCAAGGTCTTCTTCTCTCTGCATTTCTGTGATGTGCAGACAATTCTTCTGTGCTGAGCTCTTGCCCACACACTCGCTGCCCACATAGGAGGCCCTTCTCTTGGGATAATTAAACAAAGAAGGAGCAAGCTGAGAAGACAGACCGGCTGGAGCCAGAGCAAGCAGAGATGTTGGGCAAAGGGAAAAAACTGGATGATAGGACAGGCTTTCTGGAGCATGGGGCTTGTGCTGGGGAAAGCAGAGGCAACACTGGAACTGGCTCCAATTGGATGGGTACACTTGGTTTCAGACATAAACTCCCACAGGTAGGCCAAGAGGGGCCTGGATCTACCAGCTCAGGGCCTTATTTGAGGGCTACTAAAGCCATTCGAAGGCTTACTCAGGAAGTCACCCAGAGGAAACTTCCATGAACACATCCCTGCCATTAGCCAGT